TGTTCATTTCTTGGGGCTGCTGCAGCAAATCCCCATGGAGTGGTTTACAACAGAAATCGATGTCAGGGATGGAGGCTCCAAGCCCCAAATCAATGTTGGCAGGCCGGGCCACTGAGGGCTGCTGGGCCGACCCTGCTCCAAGCTGCCTCCTTGTGTCTGGTGCTTGCTGGCATGCCATGGTGCTCCCTGTAGATTCCTGGCTCATTTGCTCTTTTGTCTCTGGCATCTTGTGGCTTTCTTCCTGGTGTCTCTCTGTGGTTTCACATATCCCTATGTAGGGACACCAATAAGTTGCATCTCTTCCCTCCATCCACCCTGGGGCTGGGCATTGCTTCCAAACGGTGCTCAATATTCTCACTGTACTCAGCCAACAATGGTGTGAGGACCACCAAACCACTGCAGCAGTGCTCGGGGGTCTCCGGGTAATGTTGGGGGTACCAAGACCACCGCAGTGGTGTTTGGGGGCCTCCAGGTGGTGTTGGGGGTGGGCATGTGCCTTTGACCCTGTGCTATTCTCCCCCACCCTGGGGCTTCATTTTAGACAAAGAGGCAAATGCTTCATTTTCAAATAAAATCAGATCCCAAGTTTGGGTGGATATGAAATGTTCAACCAACCACAAAATCCAGAGGAACAAAGAAGGGAAGTGAATAGAAAGTTGCAATCTGATATTTCTTCTGCTATTGCCCCTAAATCACATCAGCTCAGAATGTCTTCATACAGTAGACAAAAAAAATAAAATAAATTAAAAATTTTCTATTCTTAGACTAAGAAACATTTGATTATTATAATTAAATTTTTTATTTTGTAGGACCCAGGTCTCCGAGGCATATATTAGTGCAGGAAGAATGGTGGAGTTGAAAAGATGTGCCCAGAGGTTCTTCGTCCTCTTAAGAAATTCTTCGATGCTCTTGAAGGCATTCCACGCCACTCTCTTCCTCCTGCGCAGTTCTGGCGCCAAGTCGTTCCTCATGTTGAATTCTTGACCCAGGTACACATAACTGCTGCATTCGGAGATGTTCATTCCATTGAGAGCAAATGGAATGTCAGGGACTAGTTTGTTTTTCATGAACATTGTCTTGGTGAGATTCAGCAGCACTCCGACCTTTCCATACTCATGGTCGAAGTCGGCCAGCATTTGTGCCACTTGGCTAATGTTTGGTGTTATTAGAATGATGTCATCAGTGAAACAGAGGTGGTGTAGTTGCCGATCGTCTATCTTCACTCCCATTTCTTCCCATTCCAGTCATCGCATGACATTCTCGAGGGTGGCACTGAAAAGTTTTGGTGAAATGTTATCACCCTGCTGAACCCTTCTCTTTACGATGATGATCACTTCCTTATAGAATGGTGAGATCCTGGTGGTGAATCCATAATAAAGCTCATGGAGGATTCTGATGTACTGAGTTTGAACACCCTGTTTGGCTAGGGCTTCGATGATTGCTAGGTCTCAACAGAATCAAAGGCCTTCTTTAAATAGATGAACGTTAGGCAGAGCAGCATCTTGAACTCTCTCGAAACCTCTATGAGCCTGGTCACCATGTGGATATGATTGATCATGCTGAATCCTTTTCAGAACCTGGTTTGCTCGCATGGTTGTCCTATTTGGGTCACCCAAAGAGGAATTGAAAGAGCTATGCTTGGAGTATCACGCTTCATTCAAGTGAGAGAAGGAATCTGGAGTTCCGACCTCCGTTGACGATTGAAGACCAGGGACGCTGTCTCGTTTGCCAAGGTGTCGAAAATCAGATGGACTGGACATATAATTCGATTTGGAGATGACTGCTGGACTTTGGAGAGCCATTACCGACTGGATTCCATGAGACGTCAAAAGAACACCGGCTGCCCACTTATGAAATGGTCGGACTTCTTCATCAAGACCCTGAACATATGGTTTGATGCTCTTCGTGTTCCTAGAGTGAGCAGACGCCATTGGGCTACATTAGCACTCAACAGGGTTGAATGGAAACATTACTGGCACCCGTTGGAGAAAACTGACAAACAGGATGACAAGTGATTAGAATTAAAATTTTGAAGAGTGGGAACTGGAACCACAGTACAGCAGCTAGAGAGTCTTGCAAACAGCCAACTCGGGTACCCTGGGTGGTTCCCTTGGGCACAGCCAGGAGTGGCCCCTGAGTGCCAAACTAGGAGTAGACCCTGAGTACCACTGGGTGTAGCCCCCAAACAAAAACTAAACAAAGAAATTTGAACAGTCCTCAAAAGTTTTGTCCTTATGGTGCTCAGAAGTTATTCTGAGTTGAAAATACTTGATTTCTTGAATCTGAATAGTCATCAGGACTCAGCCTTAGACCATTGCTAGAACAAAGAAATTCTATATTCTCAATGTGCAAAGTCATGAAAAGAATTCATTAGATCTCTTTCACATGGCATTTGAAATAATAAAAATTTTAGAACTTTAAAAATCAAAATCTTTGGGGCTGGAGCGATAGCACAGCGGGTAGGGCATTTGCCTTGCATGTGGCTGACCCAGGTTCGATTCCCAGCATCCCATATGGTCCCCTGAGCACCACCAGGGGTAATTCTTGAGTGCATGAGCCAGGAGTAACCCCTGAGCATCTCTGGGTTTGACCCCAAAAGTGGGAAAAAAATCAAAATCTTACCAGTGAAACAAGTAAGAATGTTCAGGAAATGCTATCAGAATCATCAACACAATCTAAAGTCATTTAGGGACCAGGAGATAGTTCAGCAATTAGGGCACATGCCTAGCATGCGTACAATCTGGGTTCAAGTTCCCTTCACCACGTGGTGGTGAAGATTGGGTTGGAACTTCCCTGCACCACATGACCCCTGAGCATGGGCAGGTGTAGTCCTGGAGGCCCCCAATACCACTAAATGAAGATTGTGGAGACACGGCTTGTTCAGGGCACAGAGGCTGTACCCATGGCCGCTTTCATGGCCACGCGACATCTCATACTTTATGGCACGGATTAGCACAGCACTTTTGATGGGGTTTAAAGTAGAAAGCAACCAATCTTGATAAAAATATATATTGAAATATATATTTATATAACATATATTATATTATAAAATATTATATATATCAATATATTGGCACACAAGGCTCAACCTGTAACAATATCTTTGTGATCTCTTATACAGGGGCTTAATGACTCCAAGGTGAGATACAATAACATTCACACACTTTTCTCTAAGGAAACCTTTTTGGATAATTTTTAGTGTTTTATTCATAAAAGGCAATACAAAATAAATTACTTAGCATCTGCCTTTGGGGCAGGCTTGAGCAGTGGTGGAAAAATTTGAAATAATGATGGTGGGAAGGTTAAAATCTGCCTTTGGGGAAGGCTTGAGTGGTGGTGGAAAAAATGGTGGTGGGATTGTGCTTGAAATATTGAATGCAATAAATCATTGTGAACAGCTTTGCAAAAATAAAATTGAGAGAGGGGAGAGAGAGAGAGAGAGAGAGAGAGAAGAGAGACTTCGCCTGCCTGTCAGTGGCTGAGCATCACTTTCCCCCTCAAGATTTCACTGCTTGGTTACTTTTAACCGAGTCTTCACTTTTTCCAGGCTCTCACTGCTTGCTCACTGCACCATGAGCTAACAGCTACAAGGGGGAACTTCCTCCAGATTCCTCTTGTAGTCTGCAAGCTTCCTGTCCTAGTAAGAGACTTCCTTACCCAGAAGTGTCCCCAGACATGTTAACTTTTCTGAAAAACTGCCCGTCCCCTGTCCTCACCGCCCAGGCATCGCGGTTTTCAGGACTGCCCTGAACTCATCTGAGGTTGGAGGAGATTTCGGGGGATGTGGCAAGACAGTGATGCTGGCAAAACTTCTACTGCCCTTTAGCAGAAGTTACCAAGAGCAATTGCCTCCCTCTTTTGGTTTCAGATTTCAGGCACCCAGCAGTTCTCAGGGCTTGCTCCTGGCTCTGTGCTCAGGGATCACTCCTGGCAGTGCACAAGGATTGAACCTGGGTTGGCTGCGTGCAAGGCAAGTACTTTAACCCCTGTGCTCTCTCTCCAGCCCCTCTCCTTCCTTACTGAGACTTACACCCCGTATCCGAAGAGCCTTTCGTCTTGTGCTTCTCTTCTTCTAGGATCCCGAGTGCCTGGGAGGCAGCTTTATTGTCCTGTGGGAATAAAGTCCTTCTCTAGACAGAGGGTTAAATGAGACCTGCTGTTTCCAGACAGGAGCGATCAGGCAGGGAGAAAGTGGGGGGTGACAGTGTCTCACTCTGGCTCTTCTCGGCCTCCCTCACTGGGGTGAGGTGCAGGGCTGGGAATGACTCACCACCACTGATCTGGTTCTGAGGAAATCTAAGCAAGGAGCTTGCAGGCTGAGCCAACCCTGGAGGTGGACCATGTTCTGAGAGATTCATTACCTAGGCAAAAGGTGGGCTTCCCCGCCTTGGGACACCTGTCCAGAGGACCATGCCAGACATACAGGGCTAACGCTGGGGGCATCACAGATGGGGAGCCCCGGTCCTCGTCGCTTCTGTTTGGGGAAAACTCCCTACCCCTGCCACGTCCTCCCTTCCCTTCACCCTCGATGCAGGAATTGTTATGTGTCCCAGACTCAGGAGATCTCAGGATGGAGTAGGCAGAGATCTCTCATTACCTGGATGGTAGGGAAGGGACTTGGTGATCATGTGTGTGGGGGGAGGTCTGTTGGAAATTCAGACCCAGCTGTCACCCCCAGGAAACTGCATATAAGGAAATGTCGGCATTTCTGCTGCCAGGCATGTGAGTAGCTGCTTGAAACAACCCACTTCTGTTCCCCACGACGAAACCAAACTCCTATTAAATACCTGTGGAGGGACCTGGGCAGGTGACTCAGTGACTTGTTACATGCTTTGGGTTCCACGACTCACACAGGAAAAGGAAAGAAAAAAAAAAAAGAAAACCAAGATCACTCAAAAAGAAGGAAGTTCTCAAAATAGCTCAGGATGATTGGGCCACGGGCGCTTGGCCCTCCTGTCCTATTTCTCTCAGGAGAACGCGGGATTCATTTGGACCAGCTAATTTGAAGGGACTTTCTCCTTCTCTCACACGTCAGACGCCACATTTCGAAGTGTGAGTCTCCAGTCAGAACAAGATGTGGAAAAAGAGTCTGCTTATATTCCTGTTCTCTCTTTCGGTCCAAGGGACTCAGGATCCTGGGAAACAGCAAAAACCAAAGCGTGAGTTTTGTTTGCATCTCTCTTGTATTAAAACTGTTTCAGAGGCCAAGGAGTATAGCGGGCAAGGCATTGCCTTGCCCATAGACTGGGTTTGATCTCTGACACCCCATATGGTCCCTGAGACTGCCGGGAGTAAACCCTGAGCACAGCTGGCGTGCCCTCCCCCCCAAAAAAAATAAAAACTAAAATAAAAATGTTTCAACAAATGGTATTATGGTCAGCTGTAAATCTGACTGTTCATGAACACATTTTTCCTGAGCCTAGAGATGGGCAGCTCAGGAAGACGTTTACTTTAACCTCTGTTTAGAAAGAAACGCTGCCTGGGAGGGGGTTGGAGCCTCTTACCTGACTGTAGCACTGTAGTACTGTCCTCCTGTTGTTCATCGATTTGCTCCAGCGGGCCCAGTAACTTGTTACTGTTTGGGGGATATCGATTGAATACATCATGGAAAGCTTGCCAGGCTTTGCTGTGCGGGCGAGACACTCTCGGTAGCTTGCCCTCTTCGAGACGGGCGGAGGAATCGAATTCTGGTCGGCTGGGTCAGCCGCATGCAAGGCAAATCCTTACCTGCTAAATACTGAGATTGTTTTTACACTGAAATCTTTCTTTCTCTGCTGCTTTTCTTTGTTTGGTTCAGGTGTTTGGTTTGGGGGTCACACCTGGTGGTGTTCAAGGTCTCTCCTGGCTCACGCACTGGGGTCACTCCTGACACTGCAGATGGGGTTTATGCAACACCAGGGATGGAACTTGGGCTTCTTGCAGGCAATGCGTGTTCTCTGGTCTGTGGAGTTGTCTTTCCTTCCCTGTTGTTGGCTTTTTTTATAAAAAAAAAAAAAATTAAATAAATAAAATGAACACACAGTCATGATAAAAGAATTCAGGTCACAAAAAAAACAAATATACTGGGAGATAGTTTATCATCACAGGGCTAGACTGTTATCCTCACCCAAAAGTATGTGTCAATCAACTGAGTAAAACATCTCATGTTGTTTTAAGCTTAAGTTGCCTCCAAGCTAAACTTGCGTATGAAGCTCAGCTCCGCATTTTTGTGTTTGTGGTCTCTGAAAGCTGCCTCGATCCCACAGGAAGGAACATGGGACTTGCTGGGCAGTGGGGGAGGGGCGGGGCCTTGCCTAGAGAGAGATGCAAGAGGGAGGGCTGAGAAGCTCTTCACGGTCCAGGTTAATGACCAGGAGGAGATGTGGTGGCGTGTCCAGTGGTGCTCAGGGCTTACTAGCTGGCTCATTGCTCAGGATTAATGCTGGTGGTGGGGTTTGACTCCAGCTTGGTTGTGGCTGCAACCGAACAAGGCACGTGCCTTTTCACTGCCCTATCTCTTCGATCCCTGGATGGGTTTTTTTTCTTTTTGGGTCACACCCGGCATTGCACAGGGGTTACTCCTGGCTCATGCACTCAGGAATCACTCCTGGCGGTGCTCGGGGGACCATATGAGATGCTGGGAATTGAACCTGGGTCGGCCGCATGCAAAGCAATCACCCTCCCTGCTGTGCTATCGCTTCAACCCCTGGATGGCATTTTAAGTGGTCTTCGCTTCAGCAATGTTCAATGGTCTACGTGTCTTTTTCTGGGAATTACCCATTTAAATTATTTGACATTTATTTGATTGTTTTTCTTCTTGATTTGTCAATGATTTGTGTTCTTGAAAAAAGAATCTGGGGCTGGAGCCATAAGACAGTGGGTAAGGTGTTTGCCAGTTCGATCCCCAGCATCCCATATGGTCCCCTGAGCACTGCCAGGAGCAATTCCTGAGTGCAGAGCCAGGAGTAACCCCTGAGTGTTGCTGGTACAACTCGGGAAAAAAAAAAAAAGAAAAAATAATCCCTTGGAGCTAAAGAGAGAGCACAGGGATTAGGAGCATGCCTTGCATGGTCCCTGGCCCTACCTGGCACCCAGAGCACTGCCAGGAGCCAATCCAAAGAGCCAGGGGTCACCCATGAACACCTCTGAGTACCGACCCTGACATCAAACAGACAAAGAATCTTTTGTTTTCTTTTTCTTTCTTTCTTCTTCTTCTTCTTTTTTTTTTTGGTATTTGGGCCACACCCGGTGGTACTCAGGAGAGCAAATGGGGTGCAGGGAATTGAACTCAAGCCAGCCGTGTGCCAGACAAGCCTTACCCAATGTTCTCTCTCCAATCCCAAGAATTTTTTTTTTTTTTTTTGCAGTTTAGCACTGTCACTGTAGCACTGTCCTCCCTTTGTTCATCGATTTGCTCGAGCGGGCACCAGTAATGTCTCCATTGTGAGACTTGTTACTGTTTTTGGCATATCAAATATGCCACGGGGAGCTTGCCATGTGGGTGGGATACTCTTGGTAGCTTGCCGAGCTCTCCAAGAGGGAAGGAGGAATTAAACCCCGGGATGGCCGCATGCAAGGGAAACGCCCTACCCACTGTGCTATTGCTCCACCCAAATGTTAAACTTTTTGGGACAATTTAACATTTTCTAATAGGCTGTCACTTACCTTGGTTTTGTCATAAGGATTTATTGTGGTTTGTTGTTTTTAGAGTGACCTGGAGTGCATCCCGGACTCACACAGGCAAGGCATGCATCGCCACTGCACTCATGGAGACATTTCAACAAGAATTTACCTAAAGTACAAAAAAAAAAAAAGAATTTCCCTAATCTTAATTTTTTTATAATCTTTTTTTTAATATTATATTTTCCGAGAAGAGTTATTTTCTACTCTTGACTCCACACCCTCGCTTCTCACAGGAACAGGAATCAAACCCAAGACCTCACACAGTCACAGTCCTCCCGTTGTTCATCAATTTGCTCGAGTGGGCCCAGTAACGTCTCCATTGGAGACTTTGTTGTTACTGTGTTAGGCATATTGAATACATACATCACGGGTATCTTGCCAGGCTCTGCCGTGCGGGTGAGATACTCTCGGTAGCTTGCCGGGCTCTCCGAGAGGGGCGGAGGAATCGAACTCGGGTCAGCCATATTGGCTGCGTGCGAGGCAAACGCCCTACCGCTGTGCTATTGCTCAAAGCCCTCACACATATGAGGCAAAAGCTTCAGTGCTGAGTCACATCCCAGACTCCACTGACACTTTATTTAAATCACTGAAACCAAGCATGCAAACTATCAAACACTATTGGGGTGATGTCAACCTCTTGGGAGCATTCTGGGATCTCAGGAATCAAGATTCAGAGGTTGACAATCTGGGACAAAGTGATTTATAGCGATTGAAAGGCATGAAATGCACTTAATTCTGAATTCACAATGATTCCCAAAGCAAAAATATATTACCAATAAAAGAAGCAGCTCCTGTTGCTCTAAGAAGTGTGGAAGCTAACTCCTTTTTGAAAATGGTCAGTAAAAGAGAGAAGTATTTATTCTTTTTTAGCTCAAAAGTGGAATTTTTTCTGTATTAGTGGCTTCTTGAGAATTGTATGAAAGATTTGCATACAAAACTCAGATACTTGAAGTATACAGTTCAGATAGATGGGTTTGGGTTTCCTGAGTACAGTATCACTCGTCTTCTCTTTCTCTCTCTGTCTCTGTCTTCTCCCTCTCTATCCTCTCTCTCCTCTCTGTCTCTTTCTCTCTCTCTGTCTCTATGTTTCTGTCTCTCTCGTCTAGATTACCATCCTTCTTGGTTTCAGTGCTCCTGGTCTAGAATGTGGCTAGCTGAGAGGAACAATGTCACATGTCCCCGTGCTGGGGTTTTGCTTCATGACCTGTCCCTGGGACTCTCTAAGGCTGTACTCCAGGGGTTCCCTATTACTCTGGCTTTCCTTAATCCTGGCTAGGTGCATGTGAGTAAGAATCCTGTGTTCAGTGCCGTATGTGGGTGAACAAACCTTGCCTGGTTTTGCCTTCTGTGTGCCTTTCTAACCTGCCAGCCACCCCCCCCCCCCCCCCCCCCCCGCCAACACACACACATAAACAGTGGAGCTTCCTTTTTTTTTTCTGCTTTTTTGCTTTTTGGGTCACACCCAGCGATGCTCAGGGGTTACTCCTGGCTCTGCACTCAGGAATTACTCCTGGCGGTGCTCAGGGGACTATATGGGATGCTGGGAATCGAACCTGGGTTGGCCACATGCAAGGCAACACCCTACCTGCTGTGCTACCCGCCCTACCTGCTCCAGCCCCCATCAGCTATTCTTGATTGGATACCTTTTCTGCTAGGTGAGATTAAAATGATCAGCCTAGATTAATCTTAGATTAACTAGTTTATCTGGCACTCCCACCCTTCCACTCCCACTCTGTCACCTTTTCCTGATGGTACCTCTAGGTAACCTGAGAGGTCAAGCAAAGATTCTGTTTACAGATGTATGTCAGACCCCAGGACGGGCAGCATGACAGAATGCATAGGTGACCACTGTTGCAATCTCAAATGAAATACTGCTTCTGATGGTGATTGTGAAAAGCTACCACCCAACAAAAAGAGAGATGCCGTAGGCTGCCTGATGAAAGTGCGTCAGCCTTGTTTCCCTACTGCCCACAGCCATGTCATCTTCCAAAAAAAGAAAAGGACCTGAATTTCATTGTACTTCTGGCCAGGGTTTGAAGAGCATGAGAGGATTCCAGACTAACGCTGGGAATCGCTGCAGGATAACTAACTCAGTCTTCAACAAACACTTTGAAGGAGCGGGGGAGGAAAGAGGAAAGGGCTATAGTTTTTTAGAAAAGGAGGAAGAGGAGGAGGAGGAGGAAGTGCAGGAGGAGGAAGAAGGAGAGCACAGTGAGTAAGTTGCTTGCCCTGCATATGGCTGTCCCGTTTTTGATCCCTGGCACCCCAGATGGTCCTCGGAGTTCACCAGGAGTGACCCTTGAGCTAGGAGCAAGCTAGGAGCAAGCCTTGAGCACCACTTGGTGTGAACCAAAAGCAAAAAAAAAGAAGGAAGTAAAAGAAGAAGAGACAGCCAGAAGGATAGCTCAGCGAGCTGAGCACGTGCCCACTTGTGGGTGCCCTGAGATCCATCTGTGGTCTGGCTCCCTGAGCACTGCTGGGAATTATCCTCAAACAC